GAAGTTCTTCTGTCTCTAGGTTCTGTGTAGGTTCTGTGTCTAGGTTCTGTAGCCAGTTTCTGTCCAGGATCTTTTGCCATGTTCTCTCCAGCGAAGTTCTTCTGTCTCTAGGTTCTGTGTAGGTTCTGTGTCTAGGTTCTGTTCTCTTGGTTCTGTCTTCTAAGTTCTGTCTCCTGTTGTCTTGTTACATCTGTATTTATACCAGTTGATTCAATCCTATCAATCTCTATTCCAAAGGTTAGGGCATTTCTTATCTCCATTCCAGGGAGTAAAGATTATGTAGCTTAAGCATGATTGTTCATAGTTAAAGTGATTAACTACCCGCCTGGCACTTAGTTAAGGGGTTTTATTCCCTCCCTAACTTCGGGGGAAAATCCTTACCTGGGGAAACAACCTTTCTCAGAGAGGTGATCTTGGTTAAAACACATAGTGCCAAGAAGGTGAGCAAACATATTAAGAACAGTATGTCATATCTGCCAGGTCCCTTGAAACAGCAAGGATGGACCGGCTCCCGGCAGGTGACGTCCAGCCCCTGGCGAGCCCCTGTGAGGAGGGACAGGACCCAGGAGACGGTTTCCCTTTAGCAGAGTGCACAGAAGAAGGGGTATCCGGAAAGGCGGGAGAAAACGTCAACATGTTACTAAATTCTTCAAGGCTGACTATGGGGCAGCGGGACCCTGGAGGGTTACTGGGAGCCCTGGACACAGAGGAGGCCCGCTCACCCGAGAGCTCGTTCCCATGGGCCCTCACTTGGTGTGGCCAGGAATACTGAGGACAGGGCCAGAGGCCAGAGAAATGTTGCCCTTTCTTTGATACACAAACATGCAAAGCCACACCCTGTCCCAGATCCTCCTCTTTAAAACACAGCTTTAACTTGAACTTGAAAAAGAGCAAATTAACCCCAAAGTAAGCAGAGGAAAGAGATCATCGAAACAAGTGCAGTAATCAATGATATGGAAAACACAAACATGGACTAAATCAATGAAATAAAACCATGGGCCTGGCCGGTGTTGCTCAGTGGTTGAGTGTTGACCCATGAACCAGGAGGTCACTGTTCAATTCCTAGTCAGGGCACATGCCCAGATTGCAGGCTTGATCCCCAGTAGGGGGCATGCAGGAGGCAGCCGATTCATGATTCTCTCTCATCATTGATGTTTCTATCTCTCTCTCCCTCTTTCTTCCTCTCTCTGAAATCAATAAAAACATTTTTTTTAAAAAAAATAATGTTGTTTTGCAAAGATCAATAAATCAATAAACCTCTCACTAGAATGGTCAGAAAAACTAGAGAAGACACAAACAGCCCTGTTATACAATGAACGAGGAGAAAAACTCGCGATACTCAGACTTCATAAAGACAGTAAAGAAATGTTATGAAGGTCTTTTGGCAAACAAATTTTCTAACTTTGATAAAACAGACAAACTCCTTGAAAGTCACACACTGTAGGAGAAGCTCACTACAGGAGAAACATGGCCAATTCGCCCTGTTGATCCGCCACAGAAACTGAATCGCCATCACACACCTTGTTGCCCGGACGAAAGCTCCAGGCCCAATGGTCTCATCAAACAGTTTCCTATCAAACGACTTTCTATCAAACGATTAGGGAAGGAATGAGCCAGGCTTACAAACTCACTCCGAACATGGAGAGGGGAGCAGCCCCCACCCTGTTTTATGAGGTGAGCGCAACCCGGTAATGAAGATGTTGCAGGAAAGAGAATTACTAACCAATGTCCCCACTGACAAGCCCAGAGGCCCCACAAAATGCCAGCAAATCCAAGGCAACAAAGCTGAGAAGGATGAACTCCGGGGGCCAGGTGTTACCCCCGGAGGGCAGGGCTGGCCGGTCGAAAGTCAATCTGTTTAATTCCCCAGGTTAACAGAATAAACGAGGAAAAAAAATGATTGTTTACATGGATGTGGAAAGAGCAGTAACAAAATTCAGCATCCATATGATTTAGGGTTTTTTTGTTGTTTTTTTAAATATATTTTATTGATTTTTTTTTTTTTTTTTTTACAGAGAGGAAGGGAGAGAGGTAGAGAGTTAGAAACATCGATCAGCTGCCTCCTGCACACCTCCTACTGGGGATGTGCCCGCAACCAAAGTACACGCCCTTGACCAGAATCGAACCTGGGACCCTTCAGTCCGCAGGCCAACGCTCTATCCACTGAGCCAGACCGGTCAGGGCCATATGATTTAGTTTTAAAACTCTCACACATTCAGGGGAGAGGGGAACGTCACACATGTCCTCAGGGCTTGCATGAGCCTCCTACGGGCATCACAGCCAGCGTGAGACGCCAGCCACGTTCCCCCGAGATCAACAGTGAGGACGCTGCCCACTCGTGCCCTCTGCTCCACAAAGGACCAAAGTCCTGCACAGAAAGGCAGGAAAGAGGAACAAAAGGCACCTGAACGGAAAGACGCACACAAACTCTACCCACAGACCGTGTGGCCGTGTGTGTGGAAAATCCTAACGAATCTGGGAAGTAAGTATCACAAAATCCTTAGGGATACATTCACACAGAGGTGTAAGGCCACTCACTGAAAGCCATGAACCGCTGAGAAAACTAAAGAAGTCCTAAGCAGGGGAGAAAGCACGTCCATGGATCAGCAGCCCCGATCTCATTAGCCTGTCAGTTCTCCGTCCTCGAATCTGGAGATGGAATTTCTTGCCAGTCGCAGCCCCAGCCGGCTTTTTAAGTAGAAATTGACAAAATGATTCTGAATCCGCGATGGAACTGCCGAGGCCCTAACGTGGATCTGTGGCCGTGGAAACGTTCCACGGGGCCTTTTCAGCGCGGCGGCCGGGCCTGGGGCGCTTAGGGGGTGCTTAGGAGCGGGGTGCTTAGGAGCGGGGTGCTCAGGAGAGGGGTGCTTAGAAGGGGGTGCTTAGGAGGGGGTGCTTAGGAGCGGGGTGCTTAGGGGTGCTTAGGAGTGGGGCGCTTAGGAGCGGGGCGCTTAGGAGAGGGGTGCTTAGGAGCGGGGTGCTCAGGAGCGGGGTGCTTAGGAGCAGGGTGCTTAGGAGCAGGTGCTTAGGAGCGAAGTCAGCACTGACCACCACGCCCACCTTCTCCCCTTCTCTGAGGGGCGGCGGGCTCGCTGCTCTCCCCCAGGACGTGTCCCCGAGGGCAGTCTGTCTGGCCGCCACAGCCTGAGCCTGGGAGCAGTGCCGGCGTCCAGCAGGGGCCCCGTGACGGCCTGTGGGCTGCGGGCCTGGGACTCAGCCCTCCCGTCACCACCGCGCCTTCCCCAAGCAGGTGGGGGACACGCTGGCCCCCACGTCAGCGCTGCCCTTGGGAGCACAGTCGGTGGAGGACACACACGGGAGCTCGGTAGGAACCGACGGTGACGACCTCTCCCGGAGGAAGCTGCCTGCGTGGGGGGTGGGAGCTCAGCCGAGGCCCCAGCCCAGCCCCGTGTTGGGGGCCTGGACAGCAGGAACATCTGACCTTGTCTTGACACAGAGCTGAGCGGGGAGGAGGCAGGGAGAGCGCAGAGGCAGGGGTGGTGGGAACAGCTCGGACGGAGTGTGGGCGGAGCGCCAGGGCCTCGCTAAGGGAGAAGGTGGGCCGGAGAGGGCAGCCGGGTGCCTGGCCTGGGACACAGGGGCTTCTCCCAGCAGCCTGGGGACGTGGGACTCAGGAGAGCGGGGCCCGCAGCCACTGAGGATGGAGCCCGGGTCCCACCCAGGCTCCAGGCCTCCAGCCTCAAATTGGGGTGGGGGGGCACAGCTCTGCACCTCCACCCTCAGGCAGAGGGGGCCAGGCCCTGGAACCCTCTTAGGAGCAGCCGTCTGGGCCAGCAGGAGATGCCCTGCGCACAGACTTCCCCTGCGGGACAGCAGATGGGGCAGCTACCCTCCCCCCGCCCCCCCAGAGCAGCCAGTCTGAGAAGCCCATTGGTGGGAAGGAGGGGCCGCCCCGTCCCACAGGCTCCGCCCTGCGCAGCCCCACACCTGTTACCAAGATGATGGGAAACCTTAGAATTAACTCTTCAAGTTCATCTGGTGAGAACAGCAAAGAACCCCCAAGAGGGGACCCCACTAGATAGGAACGCAAATTATAAACTGACGTCACTTTCAAAAGGGGGGACTGGGGGACAAGCGCAGCAACAGCTCACAGAGCCGGGCCTCTAAGGGGGGGTCTCCGCTGTGACGAAGGGCACACAGCCAGCAGGAAGGGACGGGACCCCTGAGCTCGGGGTATTTGCTGAAATAGCTGAGGCGAAGTCCCTTAGAGCCGCCTCCTGCTCACAGGCCAGCAGCTCCAGGAGTGAGCGCGTGAACTCGCAGGGAAGACAGATCCTGCAGGCCCCGGGCGCTCCGGGCTGCGCAGTCCCCTCCTCCGCCCAGCAGCGCCCCGCGCAGCCACGTCGGGGTGTGGGGGGTGGACGGGTTTTCGGGTGACACTGGAACACCCTGGCCTTCCCAGCCTCGCGGGGAACAGTGGGGTTTTCAGAGGCTGCGTACGTGTGATCTTGCAAGAGACCAAGTGCAGAAGCGGGTGAGGCGCCAGCTGTCGCCTACGAAGCCAGACATTACTTTGCAAACATGTAAAGCAGTGCCACTCCTCTCAGTGCTTTGTTGGGGAAATGTGCTATTTGCGTGGGCATCAGCGAGTTGTTTTTTTAATATATTAAAATATCCTGTTTTATTAGATGATATTCACAAAATCAACTTAAGCAAAAGCTCTTTGGAGTCCTCAGTGATTTTAACGGTTCTTAGGAAGTCAGGGGCCTAGGCTTGAGGGCGGCCTGTTTACCACCCAGGGATCCCCAGCACCCAGCACCCCCACTTGGGCGACAATCTGACAGGTCCCTGGGCACCTGCTATGTGCCGGAGGACGCTGGTGCAGCAGTGGCACAGCGTGAACAGAAGGGGAGCGGCCTGCCTGCTACATGCAGGGGGCACAGCGCCGGGAGGGAGTGGGTCAGCCAGAGACAAGAAGTTGGAACTGCAGTAAAACACACCCACGGAAGCAAAAGGCCGGAAGCGTGCAGCACGGGTGACACACGACAGGTTAATATCTTTAATATACAACGAGCTCATACAGATGCACCAGACCAAGTACTGAGCACGACCAACACCGACAACCCACGAGAGGAGACACACCTGCCCAATGGGAAGACGTCAGGCTGCCACACACCAGAGAGATGCAAACTGAAACCCAGGCTCTCTCGGCATCGAGTCAGCAGTGACTTAGCCGACGGCAGGATGGGCATATCCTCCTGGCTGGTGGCAGTGCCAAGGGGACACTCCTGGAAGCCGTTCTGCCAACGGTGTTCCTCCTGTCATTCTAGTCCCCCCTCTGGGAGCTCTCCTAAGGAAGTCATGTGACACTGGGGAAAGCTTATGCACAAAGAGGCTCCCCCACTTCTGAGAGTGAGAGATGAGTGACAGTGTGGCCACCGCTGGCCCCACTGCCCCTCCCCCAGGCGGAGCAGCCCCACCAGTTCAAAGCGAAGGTGGAGCTAACGGGGGAGGGAGCCAGGAGGACAAATGCCAAAATGGCCCCATTTCACTTTCCTCTACCCTAGTTTCCCAAACCCCCAGGATGTGCGTTTGCTGAGAAGGCCTGGCAGGTATCTTGCTTGTGGAGAGGAGTTGGTGACTGAAAGTGAGGGGCTGGGTCCTCCCGTCCCTACTGCGCCTGCGCCGTGCCAACCGCCACCACGCAGGTGTTGGGACCTGAGTGACACGGGAGACGGCAGCTGTTCGGTGGATGGGCCTGCCCTGACCCCAGCCTCCTCCCACCTGGCCGGCCCGCCCTACCTCCCTTCCCGGAGCCCCGCCATCGCTAAGCTTCTGAGCTGGTGCTTCCCACGCAGAAGCCACGGTCTCAGAGCTGCGGAGCTCTCCTCCCCTAAGCTCCGCTCACGGCTGGTGGCCCCAGCACGCGTCCCTCATACAATCCCAGGGCCTGCCCCCAGGTACATGCCCACCCTCCCTGCAGTGCTCTCCGTGGGCTGTCAGGGTCCTGGCCACCCGGTGGGCGGTCTGTCCCGTCCGGAGCGTGCGCACCAGGAGCCTTACCTGCACTCCTGCTCCCGGCTCCCTCCTCCGTGCCCACCTGGCACCGCGAGGCGGGTCCCTGCTTGTCCTGGAGGTCACTGACACGCTGCAGGACTGTTACTCCCCAGGTCACACCATGTCTGAGGCCAGGAGGCCACCCTCACCCGAGTCCCGTCTGGAGGAAGCGGGCAGGAAACGAAGCTCACTTCCTAGCGGCTGGCGGAGACCAGAGAGCAGCCACACCGGGAGGAACCCTGCCCCTCAGGCTGACGCCAGCTCCCTCACCTGCTCGTTCCCACAGCTGCAGGAAGCAGCCCGGCCACGGAGGTGCGGCAGCACCGGCCCGAGCACCGAGCACCGAGACGCAGCGCAATGGAACCAACGGGGCCGAGCAGCTGCCTGGGCGGGGCACGCCCCACACACAGGGCCAGGCGATGGCGGGGGCGGCCCGCGTGGCAGCCCTGCCCACGGCCCGTCCTGCTGTGAGCAGTATGACTGACAGGACTTCTCCAGCATGCCAACAGGGTTTCTACAAACCACTCGGTAGACCCGGGGTTGCTGAGAGCAGCGTTCCCGCCCTGCTCCCCTGCTGCGTCTCCGGGCAAACAGGAACCTTCAAGGTGTGTTACCCCTGCGGGCTTCCTTTTCCTGGGTGCCACTGTACTCCCTCATCGGGGGCTGCCTCTACCTGGCAGACAGGCAGGAGAAAGCTGAGCACTGAGAAAGTGACGGGCACACCCTCAGAGGTGCCACCCCTGGAATTGGGGCTCCACTGCGGCCCCCCATCATGCTTAATGAGCACCATGTCCCCCTGAGCTGCGCAGTCTGACTCAGGGGCCTGTGGCCTGTATGCAGGCAGTTGTTAAGCAGGGCAACGGGCTAACGGAGTTTACGGTGAGCGGAGGCCGTGACCACGCCCTGGCCTTGCATGGCAGTGGCTGCGTCAGGAGCGGTCACTTTTCCCGGCGTCACCAAAACTCGGAGGAAGTACAGAGGGCCCAGGGCCCGGCCTAGGTGTCCCGAGACCTGTCTCTGGGTGGGTGCAGAGGCTGTTCTGCAGCCAGGCCAGAGCAGGGGCGGAGGAAGCCAGGGTAAGACACCCCCTGGCCCCCCACGGTCCAGGTGGCCCTGTGAATGTCAGTGTAGTTCATCTGCATCCAAACATGGTGGAGCATCACCACCCAAAGGACCTGGGCGAGCGCCATTTGGCAAGTGATTTCTGGGCGCCCCGTGAGGAAGCGCGAGGCCGTCCCCCGCTGAGGCACGGCTGTCCCTCAGGACTGCGAAGTGAGTGACAGCCTGCCCGTCAGTGAGGACGGGGTGTCCTCCAAGGCCCTGCCCGGGTCACGAGGGCCAAGGGCCCCTGCCTGATGCACCCGAGGAAGGAGGTCCAGCTAGGAGCCCGTTTTCTTGGACGAAGACTGGGCAGCTGGTGGACAGCCCCGGCCTGGGGAGGCTCCGGAGACCTGGAGATGCTGTGAGCTGAGGGGCTGAGCTGAAGGCCACTTGTCACCTGAGTGGAGAAGGGAACAAGTGACATGGGACAGAGGAGGGGTGACTGCGCTAGCGGCTGTGGCGATTCCCACCGGAGGTCCAGGGCGGCAGAATGAGCCCCCGCGCCCAGCCTCAGCCCGCAGGGGACTGGGCACCACGTGCTGCGCACGACAGCTGACTGAGCTGCCCAGCGGTCCAAGCCACTCTCCTTCCGCCGGCAGCTTCCAGGCCCCGGAACCCGGTGCCACGGGAACACCGGCAGCCGAGCCAGGCATTCGTGGAGGGGCATCCTCCAGGTTCCTCCTCCACCTGCATTTCTGGTCCGTCCCAGTGGCAACAAGGGGGCATACAGACGGCGATTCTAGTGCAAAGTGAAGCGTGCCCCCAGAAGTGCCAGAACCACACTGCCAGCAGGGACCACTCGGCCACCAAGGACAGCCCTGCCTGCTACACGGGCCCTGGCAGGCCTGCCGCCACTCATGGGTGGGAGGCCAGACTCCCCCGTCGAGGTGCCCACCAGCCTGGCCACAGTGCCTTCTGTCAGTGAGAACAGGCCGCCAGGTCGGGAGCGGCCGTGGGGTCTGCAGAGGCCGGAGCGGGAGCACAGGTGCACTCAGGCTGGGAGGGGTCGGTGGGCCCGAGCATGAAGTGGAGGCCCTGTGACAGGTGGCTGAGCTGTGGTCATGGAGGAGCTGGCGTGGCAAGCATGAGGGGAAGCATGCACCGAGGCTGGGGACACATACTAGGAAGGGAGGGGTGCCAGGGCCCGAGGGGCTGAAGAGGGACAGGTCTGGAGAGGCAGGCAGGGACCTCCGACAAGAACGACACTGCTGTAGGGCCGCTTCTGCGCAGCCAAGGGCGCGGCTACCTAGTGCATTTGCCGACGCAACCAGGCCGGTGGCGGCTCTTAAAGGTTCCGAGCGCGGGTGGGCAGGGCCGGCGCTGGACTAGTCCCATTGGAGGCGGGGTGCACGGGGCAGGGGCCCGAGCCCGCGGCGGCCAGCTGGCGGCACAGCACCTGCCGCTCCCGCCCCGCGCGATGGGAGGCGGAGGTCTTCCTGATCTGCGCGCGCCGCGCGTGCCGCAGCGGGGACTTGTAGGTTCTCCGCAACTCTGCCAGGAAGCCCTGGTAGTTGTTTCGCAGGGGGCTGTCGGGCTGCATGTGCGGGATGGCCCACTTCTCCGCCTCCCCCGTCAGCCGCGACACCAGGAACGCCACCCGCTCGGCTTCGCCGGGGAAGCGCGAGGCCTGGAAGATCATGAACCTGTCCATCTGCATCAGGAACCCCGCGAGCTGGCCCGGGTCTCCCGAGAAAGGCTCGGGCAGAGAGGTGGGCGGCGTGGTCATGGGTCGCGTGCCGTTGGAGGTCATGGCCGAGATGGGCGGGGTGATCTGCAGCGCCCCCGGGATCCGAGCCCGGGTGCGCAGCAGCGTCAGCTCCGCCATCACGCTCTCCAGCATGTTGGTGAGGTTCGCCTTCTCGGCCCGCAGCGTGGAGGCCTCCCGCCTCAGCGCCGAGTTGGTGAGGCGCAGGGAGGTCAGGGTGTCGATGACGTCATCCATCTGGGCACCGGTAGCGGCCGCAGGGGCGGGGGTCTCTGCTTTGGACGTCTGGGGTTGGACCATGTTGGCAGAGGTCCGACCTGGAGGGGTGGGAGCGGGGCCTTGGCGTGGGAAACCCGGCACCTGGGGGCCTGTGACGCTAAAACTGGGTAAACCCGGACAGGAATGCGGGAGAGGTGGGGTTCACCCCCGGGATGGCGGCAGGGCGGGTGGATCCAGCCCGAGGTGAGCGCACCGCGGCCGGCCGGCAGGTGCAGGCGACGCAGGCCTCGGGGATCCCGATTCCGGGTCGGCTCCTCTCTCGCGGACCTCACCAGGCCGGGCGCACCGCACAGGAGAATGGGCTTGTTCTGGGGCCTGGAGGGTGAAAACACGTTTTTAAAAAGGTTTCCATCGCAGAAACGGGGGTGGGAGCAGGGGACGCGGCGTGGGAGGTGCAAAGAGCCGGCGGCGGGGCGGGCGCGGGGCCGGGCCCACCCGGGGCAGAACAAAGGGCGGACGCACCTGCGGCGGCGCTGGGCCGGGCGGCGGGCGCGTCCCTGGGTCCCCGCGGTTCCTCCGCGGCGCCGTCTGCCGCGCGGGCCGCAGCCGAGATGGCGCGATCCGGGGACGCGGGCAGGCCGATGAGTCACGGCGGCCGGGCCGCCGCCGGAACTGCTTCCCGGTCAGGTCCGGCCCGGGCGGCCGCGGCGGCGGGAGGCGGGCGGGAGCGCGCGCGGGGCCGGGGTCGCAGCGGAGGGCGGGTCGCGGCGCGACCTGGGTGCGGGCGGGGCCGAGGCGGCGGCCGGTGGGCCTCGCTTAGGCCCCACTGGTTGCCATGGAGACCGCCGCTCGCGGCGGCGGCCGAGGCCCCGCCCCGGAAGTTACTGGCACAGTCCCGCCTCCCGGGAACCGCAGCAGCCAATCAGCGATGGCTGTGAGTATTGTTACTTGTTACAGTAGGTGCGTTCTTTCTTTTTTATTCTCCCTAGGGCTGTTTGCAGAGCTCTTCTTGTATGTTGTAATTATTTTTCTAATGAAGATTGCTTTTCACAGTGTAACCTGAATGCAAATTCAATGTACTACCTAGTCCAGTGGTTCTCAACCTTGGCTGCACATTAGAATCACCTGGGAATCTTTTAAAAATCCTGATTTCTGGGGCTCATCCTCCGGAAATTCTGTTTCTTTGTTATGGGTGGGGCCACATTAGTAACAAAGAAACAGAATTTCCGGAGGATGAGGCCCAGAAATCAGGATTTTTAAAAGATTCCCAGGTGATTCTAATGTGCAGCCAAGGTTGAGAACCACTGTGCTAGTCACTCTAGCAAATTTTGATGTCAGAAAAGTCTAAACGAAATCCTTCATATCGCCCAGAATTTCTCCGCCTGCAGAGAACAAATAGTAATATTTCTGTCATTCCATCCAGTCGTTTTTATTTAATTATTATTATTATTTAATTATTATTTTTTAGAGAGAGGAGGGAGGGAGAGCGAGAGAGGGAAATGTCAATGTGAGAGAAAAGCATGAATTGGTTGCCTTCCCTACGTGCCACAACCGGGGATCAAACCCGCAACCCAGATATGTGCCCTGACCAGGAGTCATAACGGCAACCTTGGGTGCACAGGACGACTCTCAACCAACCAGGCCACTCCAGCTGGGCTCCAGTCATTTTTAAATGATATATTCGATTACACTAATTTTTGTACCTTCTGGACTGTTTTATACCCTTAAGCACACACTGAATTTTGAGCATTTTCCCATTAAAGATATTTCAAAAGCCTGACTTTCAAATACTGCTTCGTGCTCCACTGGCAGTGTGTACCAGGATTTATTGAACCAGCCCCTTCTGATGAATACCTTATTTCCACATGGAAGTTTTATAAACCATACTTGTCTGTAAATCCCAGCCCCTTTCTCGCCCGTTTCTCCAGGGTGACCCCCAAGGGGGGAAATTACTGGGCCAAAGAGTGTGGGCAGTTTGAGTCAGGACCTGGCTGCCTTTCCCACCGGACCTTGCCGAGCTGCTTCACCACGGTCAGCCCCAGGCGGCTGTGGACACAGTTCAAGGAGGCGGTGACCACTGGCAGCCACCCCTCCTCAGACAGGCGTAGGGCAGAGTCAGCTTCACTCACGACTGTACTGCCTTTGCTCCTATAAAATGGAAATTAGGACATGAGGGTGTGAGTACATGGGGAGCAGCCTAGCTGTCCTTACAACTCCGTGTGCCTCAGTGTGCCAAAGGACGCGTGTTTCTATTTTGATGTTTTTTAAATATATTTTTTATTTATTTCAGAGAGAAAAGAGGAGAGAGAGATAGAAACAGCAATGATGCGAGAGAATCCCTGACCGGCTGCCTCCTATACACCCCCTACTGGGATTGAGCCCCCCAAACCGGCATGTGCCCTGACTGCGAATCGAACCTTGACCTCCTGGTTCATAGTTCGATGCTCACCCACGGAGCCGTGCAGACCGGGTGGATGCATGTTTTATGGCCAGTGACAATTTCTAGGGCTAAGGCAAGAGAGGAAAGAAAGGGGACATTGTTCCTTTGAACTACCTCCACAAAAATCTCTCAGATCAGATTGGGGCAGGGGCTGCATTAATCTTGACTGTGATCAATGATTGAAGAAATTGGCCTGGGTCCCTCTACCCCTCCCACTTCTTCCAAACACACAGGATCCCCGCCCAGTCCTGTAAGTCACCCATTCGTCCCTCTGCCCTCGGTGGCAGAGTCACACCTCCCCAGGTCCCCAGACGCCGTGCATGTGGCCAACGTGTCTGCTGAAATGCCAGGTGTGGTTGACACCGTGCCTTGAATTCCGTGGCACATTGAATGTAAAGTGCACCGTGATTTCAGCAATGGTAAAACATGAGTTTGAAAAAAATATATATAATTTCTTGTATTTCACTTTATTTTCTTTCAAATAGGATGTAAGGTGGCTTGGCATAGAAATAGAGCAAAATTAAAAATTAACACTTTTTTTTAATGAGAAAAAAACCCGAGTATTTGGCTTCTGATCTGGATGGTCTGTGCTTCATGCTCTGAGGCCCCCTCTGCCCGAGTGCGGAGCAGTGATAAGCTCCAGCGGCAAGAGCCGGCGGAGTGCAAACACCAGATAAACCCACTGTGGCCGAAACACACGCCGCCAAGTATTGACAAAGCCGCGGGCTCGCCAGCCGTCCCGGGGACATGAGGCTGGGACAGAGCCAGGCTTCCCACTGAAACCAGGGGAGAAGGGCTCACCCTTCTGGAAAACCCGTCTCCCCGTTTCATGGAGCAACAGTGTCTGTGAGGTGTGGCCCTGGGACAAGGGGGAGCGCATACAGCCTCATGAATCCCGTGCCCCCGGCTTGACAAGTAGACCCCAAGGGGCCGGGAGGTGTGAACCCCGCGCCAACAGGGAGCATGTTCTGCCCTGCAGACCAGGCATCGCGGGGACAGCCCCAAACTAGGTGAGAGTGGTGGTGACACACACAGAGAGAGAGAGAAATGTGAAAGACGGTCTTTTACCCAAAAGTGAGCTAGAAAGTCACCTCTCTGAAGCCCGTGAAGACATCGAATGCTAAGAAGAATGGCCACCAAAGTCAATCATGGTGATAGGAATTGACTCCGGTGAAATTAAAAGAACAGTCAGGGATAAAAGGCTTTACAGTAAGCAGATTTAGGCTCTCCCGTGAGACTGATGAAGAAATAACATCTATGGGAAGAATAGACATGGGGGCGGGTCAGAAATGTAAGCAGATGAGACGGCTGTGAGTAGGGTGTCTTAGAAGGAGATACAGTACGCGGGGATGGAGGGGCGCGCTCTTCCTGTCCTTCCAGCAAAGCACAATTAGAGACGGCTTTTTAAAAGACTCTGAAAGGTGGAGCACGGAAGGCAGGCTGGCTTGGCTGCTCAGTGCCCCAGGAATGACACCGTGGTGAGTCACTGGAGTATTCTTTTGTGTCATATCTCTCAGACTTACAGCTGAATAAATGAGCAACCTGGAAATGCCAATGAATGCAGACAAAAAGCCCCCCCCCCCCAAAGCTTGCTTATTCAAGCCAAAGAGCCAGGAAGGGAGCAGCCTAAGACAGAAAACGTTTAGACAATAATCACTCCACTCCAGCCAAACACCACAACTCGTGCCAGCAGAAGCCCAGGAAGGGACGCAGCCTTGCACCCCTGCCAAGCTAAAATGAGGTGCTGCACCCCCGGCCCCGGCTGGGGTGGCTGGAGAGACGGACAAACACGTCCCAAATGTGATTGAATACATTAATCTGCACATCTCAGAAGCTCACACACTCCAAGTAGGATAAACATCAAACATGTAGATCAGGCATATCAAACTCGCGGCCCACAACAAATACCTTTGCGGCCCAGCCAATACCACGGTATGTAAGAAACGTTTTAATAAAAATTTCATGACTTAATTTTTACAATATCCTGTTATACATAATCTATACTAATAAAAGGGTAATATGCTAATTAGACTGAGAGACCTTCCAGGAGACCTTCCAGACATTCTTCTGGACAAAGCCATGATGGCGGGGCCAAGGTAGAGGCGGTTAGGGGTCAAGAGGGGAGGGCAGTTGTGGGTGATCAGGCCAGTGGGGGTGGGGGGGGCTGGAGGGGGGGTGATCAGGCTGGCAGGGGGGGCAGTTGGGGGTGAGCAGGCCAGCAGGGGGGCCAGCTGGGGGCAAGCAGGCCGTCAGTGGAGGTCAGTTGGGGGCAAGCAGGCGGGCGGGGGAGGGGGGGCAGTTGTGGGTGAGCAGGCTGGCAGGGGGAAGTTGGGGGCAAGCAGGCCAGCAGGGAGGGTAGGTGGGGCGAGCAGGCTGACAGGGGGAGCAGTTAGGGGTGAGCAGGCTGGCAGGGGGGACAGTTGGGGGTGAGCAGGCTGGCAAGCAGAGTGGTTAGGGGCAATCAGGCAGGCAGGCAGGTGAGCGGTTAGGAGCCAGCAGTCCCGGATTGTGAGAGGGATGTCCGACTGCCAGTATGGGGATCAGGCCTAAACTGGCAGTCGGACATCCCCCAAGGGGTCCCAGATTGGAGAGGGTGCAGGCCTGGCTGAAGGATACCCCCCCACACACGAATTTTGTGCACTGGGCCACTAGTTATTAATAATGAACTACAATGCTCGCTAACGACTGATGACTATAATCGTGTTGCATTCATTTCCCTTGCGTGCCTTACGCGCAGGCGCACCATTTCTCTCCACTAACACTAGCAGCGAATATTTTAGCAGCCGATTGCCACGTCATTAGTCTTGGACTGACTTGTTTGGTGTGCGCAACAGGAAATATTTTGCTTTCAGGGAACAAGAAAAATAGGTTTATTTGCATTACACTTATTAATTTGTGCAGTTATTCAGTGTCTGGTAAGTTAATGTTCATGAAAAAATATTAATTTTTATTAAAGTGTTCTATTATTTTATGTTAACGATGACTCATTTATTTCAGCCCTTTCTATTCAGCATGTCTCTATAGAAATAAACCTAAGTTTCTATGAAAATTGAAGCTTTTGGTTTTTTGCAGCCATATAAACTTAAAATAAACCTTGTTTATTTGGCCCGTGTTAGCCTTTGAGTTTGATATGCTTGACGTAGATGCATCATAAGCAACATCTGAAAAGTCAGAGACAAAGAGAATCTTGAAAGCAGCAGGAGAGAAGCAAGGGATCATGTGTAAAGTGTTATCAATAAAATTTGTAGCTGCTTTCTCATTAGAAACCACAGAAGTCAGAAGGCAGTGGGAGGACAGATTCAATGCACTGAAAGAAAAAGACGAACCAAGAATTCTATATCCAGCAAAGCTATCTTTCAAAAAGTGAAAGAAAAATAAGGATATTCCCAGGTATATAAAGCTGTAGAGCATTTATCACTAGCAGA